AGAAAGGGAGAGGGGAGGGCCAGGAAGAAGTAGAGGGAGGGGGAGGGGAGGGCGAGGGGGACAGAGAAGGACAAAGGAGGTAGAGACAGAGCCTAGGGTGCGCGATGAGACAGAGCCACCATTCACCCCGGAACAGCACGTGCAGGGCCAACATTCAGGGGAGCGGAGAGATCGGTCAGGGGTTTGCAAAGCACACGGGCACACTGGCACCGCCACTCAGAGGCTCTTCGCAAGTGCACCTCAACACAACTGGTTCCTGCATCATCTGCGCACTCTGGTTTAGGCAGCTCATCATCTTATACTGGAAACCGTGCACTGGGCGCCCCACAGCCAGAGCATATCAGACAGTAGCAGACAGTCCTAGATTTCCGTCACTCCTGATTTTGGCCAGCGCCTATAACCAAATATTCTTCAATATTTTATTTTTATCTATTTATTTATTTATTTTGCAGTGTCGGGGATGGTTCAGTGTAATGAACCTGGGCTCAGTTATTTATCGTATGTTATGTGAGGCATGGTCTTGTTAAGTCACGCATTTGCCTGCGCTGAGCTGAAGCTCGCAATCTTCTGGCCTCAGCCTCTCGGGTGCTGGACAGCAGGCGCACACCACCATGCCTGACTTAACACGGTGCCTTTTATCAATTAAATTTTCATCGAGATCAGTTTAGCCTCCATATAAGCCACGATAGTTATGAAATTATATACTTGGGATACTAGCTATAGTTCCTCTAAAGCAATTACAATAAACACCTATTCAAACTAAAGGGTAGGGCTGGGGAGATAGCTCAGTGGTCTAAGAGCCTGCCTATGTAGTGAGACCTTGCACCAAACAAATAAATGATTAAAAAAATTAAGTGGTATACTTGACAATATCTAATGTGTAATGAGCTACACATAAAACGTCCTGAAGGGTGCCAGGTGGGCCTTGTGACTTCTGTTACGTTTGCTTGTTTGAAACAAAGTCTCTGTAGTTCGGGCTGGCCTTGAACTCACTATGTAGCCTAGGCTGGCCTCAGCTTCATGGCCCTCTTCCTGCCTCAGCCTTTCGAGAGCTTGAATTACAGGTATGCACCACTATGCCTGGCTCCATTTCTTCCGTTCTAGGACCCTCTGAAGTTGGGATTGTTTCATCCCCACTTTACAGATTAGAAAACTGAGGCCAGGTGCAATTAGCCAATTTCTCCAAGGTGAGAGAACTAGCAAAGGACACAGCCAGAATTCCAGCCCGACCTTTCCTAAATTACATCACATTATATCTATACAGCCTCCTCATTGTTTCTTTATATTCTAAAACTCAATATGCTTTTAGGGGAGCAGGGGTTTGGGGCTCACAAGTGCCTTCGCCAATCCTCAGAGGCACCACCATCCCGCCCTCTGTCCTTGCTTTTGTCTGTCATGTGAAAGGACGTCAGAGCAGCCAGCAAGGGACACGCAGCGTCTGCCAAGTTTCCATGAGAGTACAGACGTCCTCTCGACACCCAGGGGTCCCCGGCCAAGCTTCCCTGTGGCATGTGCCATCTCAGACTGCCACCGGAGCCATCGCGAGTGGGCCCACTACCCAAGTGTCCTCTCTGGCCCCCCGGGGGACAGCAAGCTGAAAGGAATGAAATTAGCTTTACAGCTCTGGCTTTGCGGCTCAAGCTATGTAATGGAAAAAAAGAGAATAAGAAAAAATGTAATAATAATAAAACACCACAGAAGCCGTCAAATCTCGCTGCTAATTCTATTTGGGTCAGTTTAGGTCAAGTACTGGGCTGTCAGAGCTCCAAAGGGAAGGGGGAAATGGCTTGGGTTTTATATTTTTAATGGGGGTGGTTATTCTTTTTAATTAAAGAAAATAATCCCCAAAATATGTTGGCTGAGGGAATTTACAAGAGACTGTATCAATGGACTCGGTGGAATTCTCCGACCCGGCGCTGCCAAATTGCAAAATTACTCACTGGAAAAGCCAAGCCCTGCTCTTGATTGCAAACAGTCCATACTACCCCAAGCCCTCGTCCCCGCGGCCGCTCCCTCTGAAGAGCTCGGAACCCCACTGCCCTTGCCCACCCACCAAGGATGTCTTGTTTAGGGCCTCAAATGCCCACCTGACAGGTGGCAAGCAGGAGCAGGGTGGACAGGCGACCCCTGCATTGATGCGAGGGGGTGGGGCGCCAGGGAGGAAACCCCAGTCCCACACCACAGAAGGGTGCTGTCTGCCACTTTGCCCGGTGCACTGAGGCCGGGCCACAGAAGCGAGCAGCCCGCCAGCCCTGTGAGTGTCCTGTCACCGCAGCTGAAATCTTCTGCGCACGCATACGTCGTTTACTTCAGTGTTTGCGGCTGCAACTACGGCTGTATCCGCGAGCTCAGGCAGCCCCCAGAGCCAGCCTCACCCTCCTGGTCCCCGGCGCACATCCCTGCCTCTTCTCCGCCTCTCACGCTTTGTTCTTTATAGTCCTCTACATGCCCCAGCTGCGGCGCCGGTTTCCTTTACCTGATCCTGGAAAGAGCCTCAGTTCAAGACTAGGACTAGACTTACTTTAGAGATTTAAAAAAAAAAAAAAAAAAAAAATCAAGCTTAGAGAGGTCATGCCACCTGCCCCAGAATGCACAGCTCCAAGGTGGGTCCATCTCAGCTC